CACGATTTTATTTATTAATTGAAATATGTGACCATTTTTGTCTCCAAATATTGCTTGCTTAGTTTTATTTTTTGTTTAATTGGATAGATCTATGTAACCCTAGCATCAGCAAGATTAGGCCAGTTAATGATGGAAGATCTTGTATCAATGCATGCAGAATTTAGGCAGTTTTACGGATCGAAGGAGCCTAATTTTCCTCCATGGCTGAGGCAGGAAGAACTTGAAATACTTCCTTCTGTATTGAAAGAGATATTGGCAGGAAAAGATGGAGTCGAGTTGGGTGGTTGGATGCCCATGTACAGGTGATTTACCCTTAATCTAATTTGCATTTTGTAACAAACTCAACAGACTTAATGTTTTACGTCCAAAAAGAAATATGCTTCACTACTAAATGCACTGATTTTATCTTTTTATCTTATTATCTTGTGATTGACTAATTATAAAATTTTCACATTCAAGTGTTTACTTATTTATTGCTGGAGTTTTGTTTCTATAAATATGGACAAAATCATCCCATCTTAACATGAATTTGGATTGTTCATGTCAGAATTCCATGCCGTCACACAGTCAACCACATCGGTGGCCGTTGGATCAAGATCAGACGGTCCAAATTGCAATGCAGATTTTGATTATTTTACAATTTAAAATACCATTCTTGATATCTGAATCATACGATCTTGATCAAATGGCTATTGCGCGAAGGCATGGGATTGTGACTGCACATAACCCAAATACCACATTGGTTATAGAGTGAGTACTTAACAACTATGGAGTGTCATGTGGATGGAGTAAGAGTTCAAAGATGATTTCAATATCTCATGGAGGACTGTGGATTGTGTGTCGAGTTCTGATTAAAGGATGTTTATTTTGTCAAAATTGTTAATAATGAAAGCATCAATGATACAACCTGATTAGCACAGATTAATCCCAGTGAGCACTCTTCGAGTGAGTGTGAGCTCCTTAGAATTTGATGAGGAAAGGGAGACGAACCTTCTTATCATTAGCATACTTAAATGGTTTTCAAGTATAGATCTTATAGTGCAGTAGCATCATAAAACTTGTGCAAGTTAAGGAATGGGAATAACAGAAGGAATAAAATAGAACGGCCAGTGCTCAGCCAAATGTTCTTTATTCAGAAAACATAATCCTTCATCCATGCTGGCTTCTTAGACTAGCCTTTCTCAAGGGCTTGATGCATAGTCTCAGTTTCATATACCCCATTCGATAGCTCCATGATGTGTTATGGGCCTTCATTTGTCGGAGTTGCATCAGTTATTGTAGTTAAGAAATTGTTAGTTATGTTGTTATGTAACTGTTTTTGCTGTGTTCATTTATTTTTTAAAATAATATCTAGTGTTGGTTGTTGAGGTTATAATGTGTGGAATTTCTCAGTGCAGCTGATGTGAAGGATTGTATGCTAAAGATCAACACACTTAATTATGCTCAGGAAGTATGCTACAACGGTACATTGGTTATAAAAGCATTCAGCTCTGGTGTAGAAATAGGGAGTTGTAATTGGATTCTAAATGGTCCAAAGGGAGATATTGCTTATCTTTCAAGCTCCTGCTTATTTTCTGCACATGCAATGGCTTTTGATTACCGCAGTCTACAAGGGAGTAGTGCATTGATTTATTCAGATTTCTCATCCTTGAGTGACACACAAGATATTGAAGATGGGGATAATTACACTGATCCAGCTTCTGATAAGTTATTTCCACCGAGGTATTATTCACCTACAAAACCAAGTTATATCTAGACACTTGCATTTATTGCTGCTCAGCAGTTCAAGCAGTCATGATAAGCTTCAATTATTTGTAATAATCATCTGTGAACATCAACTTTTTTGGTGAATTACCACAGTTTTCAAGATTCAGATGGATTCAACCTTAACTCTGATGAAGATTTAGAAGAAAAGGAAAAACTAGTTTTCATATGCTCCTGTGCTATAGAGTGTGTCAAAGATGGTGGTTCGGTTCTTATTCCTATTAATCGACTTGGAACTATTTTGCAGCTTTTGGAAGAAATGACTACATTACTCGAAGCTTCAGCCATGGAGGTGCCTTTTTTTTTTTTTGATATGTTCTTCATTTATGATTTATCGATATCAATAAAAACTATGATGGAAATAAGAAATATGTTTTGTGGGCGTTGTAAGTTGGCCTCATTTGAAGTTGCTGACTTGACTACTCTCTTGCAAAACCACATTCCAATATCCTTTTTAGTTGCTGGTTCCTACTAATAAGTAAAATATGTCTTTAGCATTCAGGTTCTGCTATATATTTGACTTTGACTCTATATTGTTTACTTGTGTTCATTATTTTAGTCCATATAAAATACACATTTTTTTTTGCTTTTCGTCCCGGTATTAACTTTTTAGTCCCTAAAAATTACAAAACTACACGCTTTAAGTCCCTAAAGAGGAACTAAAAGCTTACACTTTTGTAATTTGCTGGGGCCAAAAAAACAAAATTCAAAATGATTATTGAGACTAAAAGCATATTTAACCATTTTCTTTACCCTTGCAAGTTGCAAGAGAAAGACAGGAAAAGCAAAGTCTTTCCTTGAAAAGTTTGCAAAGTGTATTAGAGTCAATAGTCATAGTTTTGTGAAAGGAATTTTGTAGCAAAATCTGTGATTCCTGCTTGTGATTTTGAAGTATTCATCATTTTTCGTTGTGTAGGTTCCAGTTTACATAATTTCTTCAGTGGCTGAAGAATTACTAGCGTGGCTTAACATCATACCAGAGTGGCTTTGTAAACAGCGGCAAGAAAGAGTAAGCACCTTTAGTATTATGAATTTGGTCCATTGCACTTGCATGCTAAAATTTGCAAATTATGAATTTGGTTCATTGTTTTTGACATCGTAACTGATACTGCAGTTATTTTCTGGGGAATTTTTATTTGCGCATGTCAAGCTCCTAAAAGAGAAAAAGATTCACGTGGTTCCGGATATTCATTCACATAAACTTTTGTGAGATTTTTTTACCTTGTTTGCCCTTTCTCTTCTCTATTGTAAAGAACTACTGTTGATTATTGAAATAATTAGTCAATCTTAGCGTCCTTTTGCATGGTCTTAGTGCAAAGTCACACGTTCCAGCAATGATATTTGCTTGGGAAAATTAGTTTTTCCTTAGAAAGCAATAATTATTGATGGTTTTTCTTGACGCTTTTAATATTTTCTGACTAACATATTGCTTGTAGAAAGAATTGGCAAGAACCCTGCATTGTATTTTGTCCCCACTGGAGTCTTCGAATGGGTCCAGTTGTTCGTCTGCTTCGAAGTTGGTGTGGCGATCCAAAATCTTTGCTTATCCTTGAGGTGTGTGATGTATTCCTCAAAACAACGCGTCATCTGAGTCTTTTTATTCCTTTATCTATTTATTTATTTTCTTTAGAAAACTATCTTTGATATGTTTGGTCTTACAAAATCCATTCTTTTAATTTATTAGGAATTACATTAACAATTAATCAATGAATATACTTTCTGTAGGATATGGTGAATCCTGAACTAGCTCTGTTACCTTTCAAGCCAGTTGCGATGAAGGTTCTTCAATGTCTGTTTCCCTCTGGAATAGGGTAGGATTTCCTTTCCCATAGACTTTAGTTACTTCTAATATGCTCATAAATGCATGTGTTGTTTTTGCAAATAATTTTCCAAATCTGGAAAAACACCTAGACTTATATGTAACAGAAAGTATTGTGTCGCCTCACAGGAACATAGGTGAGGGAAATCATCCCTAAGAAGAATGTAAAATACAACCCTAATAAACCTTTTTTGATGGTTGTAGAATAATAACAATATATGAACGATTGCTTGGCCTTCCCAAGATCCCAGTACCAAGAGTTTCTTTTTTCAGTCGGGGACTTGGACTATGCTTCATATCATATTTCTTCTGTTTTAGACTCAGAACTTCTGCCTAAAATTTGGATTTAGTTTTCAAAATGGCCACTTCTTTAAAATATGGTCAATAAACAGTTCAGTCTCTGCTGATGACAGTTTGGTTTATGTATTTAACTTCCTTTCGATATTTGCAGGGTGCAGAAAGTTCAACCTTTACTCAAGACATTGCAACCAAAGACTGTTCTGGTAATTGTACAAACGTTACTTGTATACACTTGTGTTGTTTTATAAGACAGTACATCATGTGATGAACTTATGATCCACTTTCTTTTTAATTTCTTATCCCGCAGTTCCCTGAAGATTTGAGATTGAAGACAAATTTCTCATGTGAAAAGTCTTTCTCAGTTTTGTATTATACCGAAGCCGAGACTCTAAAAGTATCATGTCAAAAGGACAATTCAGAGATAAAAATTGCGGCTGATTTGGCTTCTCAGTTTTATTGGAAAACCTTTAAAAAGGAAGAAATCAATGTCACAAGATTAAAGGGGAAGCTATTAATGGAAAATGGTAGACACCACTTGTTCTTAGATAACGACAAAAAAACTTCCTCCAGAAATAGTTCTTTGTTACGTTGTGGTTTACTAGATTCAAATAAATTCCTAGCTGCATTATCAAAAATGGGAATTAATGCATCTATGGAACGCGGTACAGACGATGCTGGATCAACAAATGTTCGCATAGTTCACACAGATGAACCATACAAAGCTTTGATAGAGATTGGAAATACCAGTACTGCTATTACTACCGATGATGCCAATGCCGCGTCCATCCTTTATAAAGCTATAGATAACATTTTGGACGAGGTCTGATATATGATAGATTTTATAATTTATAGTTACTACTGTTTGTAGAATCCTTGTATCTCTGCATATTATTCATAGTTATTAATGCATAAGTTAATAACACAATTTTTAGTTGTTACTCTTTCATGACTTTGTTTATAAAATTTAATTCATTATACCTCTCAGTATCTTCATTTTCATACTGTAAATTTAAGTGACATTCATGTGTAAATTTCGTTCATAGATTTACTAGTTACAAGCATGCTATAGATTTTCTTTTACTGATGTTTGTAAAATTCTTGTATCTAAAAGTAAAAGTTATTCTTCTTTCCCCATAAGAGTAACAAGAAATTTCTTGTAGTCTCCTGAAGTTTTTTTGGCCACTGCATGCTCAAGGTGAACACTATTTCTCTTGTAATAGACCTTTTTGATGTCTTCCAAGTCCTTCTCAGCCCTAGTCACAATCACTCGGGTGAGTTCATCTTCGTCGGTTTCCACCGTTTCCATTGCATTACGAAGAACCTACATATAACATATTCAACGTAAAAATTATATCAATTTGTTCATTGAAATTTAGAGCATTATCAATTTAAATCCTGTTAATTTTTCTTTTTAAAATCTCACCTTTTCATAGTACTTGTTATGATCATTGATGCAACTAATAGCTATTCGCAGTGCCTTGTGAAAGTCATCAGATCCTTCATCCAACAATTTCTGCAAAGGAAGAAAAGCATAAAGAAAATTAAACAATGAATGATAACTAACATAAAAGGGTCTAATTCAATGTTGTACCTTAGTGATAGCAATGCCATGATCATGCCTATAGCAATTGAAAGTTGCAACAAGCTGTGTCTTGCTTCTTGTTGTTAGGATTCTGATCACTTCTTCATGATTGTGATTCTTGTTTTTGATAGCCTCATGAAGTATATCAGCTTCTGATTGTGCCAATCTTGCATTCACCTCACTCCCACCATACCTAAATGAACTCACCAACCCCACCAAAAGCTGCTCAAAAATTAATCACAACACCTTATCAAACATTTAAGTATATATATTACTTGTTCGACTCTGTGTTGCATCGACATTTCAAAATAAAGACGTGTCTGATGTCTGACATGTGTCAGTGTCTGACATCAACATGACACAGACACATGTTATTAGTGTCGTGTTTACGTCTATCTATATTTGTCTCAGTGCTTTATAGGTATGACTTACCTGACGAAGATGGCCCGTGGTATTAGTAGCCACGTCCTCCTCCATGGAACGTCTATATCGATTGTGATAAGCGCGTCTCACAATAAAAAGCTCATCAGGTGAAGAAACACATGAAATTTCCACAATCACATGATAGTTCATGTTTGCATTTTTTAGTGCTATATTAGCCACCAAAGCCTCACGCTCTGCAGGTTCCAATATCCACCTATACATTGCTCTCTATTTTGCATACACCAACAAGCAACTCCATTAGTTCATCTCTAACAAAAGAAACTCAAAAGTTTTCAGAGTAAAAATATATTCTTCGAGATTGTCGCATTGTCAAAATATGGTGACCAGAGTTCGAATCTAAATTTCACATAAAATATTTTCCTAGTCAGATTACTTGATTGTTATTTTATATACCTCAAAATCACCGGATAACTCTGATTCAAGTCGTTTGATAAGATCTTCTTGATAAAGATCATGATATGCTTGTCTGATTTGAGTTCTTTGAGTACCATTTCTATGACCTAATATTGATATAATGGCTTTTTCATCAGCTCCCCAACCTGCAAAACCATTAATTTATTACTTAATCAAATTTTAATTCTTATTAAAGATAGCTTGATAAACACGTAATCAAGAAAAAAAATGAAGAGATGATGGTGTGATTAGTATTACCTTTAACAGCTCTTTGGAGAGCTTCTGCATCTTCAATTGGAGAGTGTTTGGAAGGAGCAATTAGAGAAGCCATTGTTAATTGACTCTATAAGCGTTTTCATCAAAGCTATAATGTAAGTTTGTAAGTTATATATACAAATTAATAATACATTAATTTATATAACTTTGTTACATTGTAGATAACTTATGTTGGAATTATCGATATTTTTTTATGTTTGCAAGCAAGGTTTAATATTTTATAATTATATCATAAAATATGATAATGATGTCTATAAAACAATAGAGTAAAACAACATAATGTTGCAATTAACATTACCATCTCCACTTTAATACTATGATTTAATATATTTTCATTGTGTTAGGTTTGAGGGTCCAACCAAACACAAGAGATATGGACAAATATGTTGGAGACCAAACAAAATAAAATTATTCGATGTCAAAAAATTTGATGAAAGAATAAAGGAAAATATTTAATTTTTGGTTTAATTGCAACTTTGGTCCCTCTATTTTGTGTTTTTTTTGTTTTGATCCTCCCATTTTAAAAACCACGATTTTGGTCCCTTTTTAAGTTTCGAGATTGATATTAGTCTCCTTGCCATTTTAAGTCATGTTTTTAATGATGTGGCGCGTTGAATGATAATGTGGCATTTCCAAGTCATTTAAAATGGTCTTATTCATTTTAATATCATTCCCATGTCATTTAGGTTTTTTTTATTTCATTTTTAGAAAATCAAATTGAATTTTGGTAAAGATTCTTGGTCTTCAAACGACATTTCTTCAAACCCAATTCAGGAATGAAGATTCTTGGTCTTCCCCTTTCATGCACGTAATTAAAGATTCTATATCAAACCGCAGCTCGCTTCAAATCAAACCGCAACTCGCTTCCCGTTGTCGCCGTAGTAGCTAGGTCGTCTCTGAAATGGCAAATCGAAGTTACGTGTCGAGGTATGTTTCCTAACTCACCTCTGAATTCAAAAATCTTAAACACGCAAATGGAGTTTGTGTTCTGTCATAGCATATGATTTGTTTATATCAACTCTCGTTTTTATCTATGTTTTAATTCAGAAACTGTTGTTTGTGTTTTGTATGCCCTCTGATACCCAAGCTGTCATATTTAAAGTACACCGTAGGGGACATTTAATTCAGAATCCAGTTATGTTGTATGTTGGTGGGCTTGTAACTGAAATGAATTGGGATTGAGGTGTAGACTTGATGTCCTACATGCAAATTGAAGATTTGATCAAAAGTGAGGGGTATCGTAATATAAAGTGTTTATGGTATTGGAATCCTAAATTTTCCTTTTCTCGTGGATTTCGGCCTCTGAACAATGATAATGATGTTTTAAGGTTAATGGAGGATGTTAGAGGATTTAAGGTAGTTGATCTTTATGTTGAACACAAAATTGAAGAAATAAGTATTGAGGATGTTATTTTTGAGGAGGATAATGGTGAAAAAGTCAATGGTGAAGGAGCAAACGGTGAAGGAACAAATGGTAAAGTTAATGTCGAGGGAGAAAATTATGAAGTTAATGTCAAGGGAGCAAATGATGAAGTTAATATTGAGGGAGCAAACGATGAAGTTAGTGTCGAGGGAGCAAATGATGAAGTTAATGTCGAGGGAGCAAACGATGAAGTTAATGTTGATGTCGAGGGAGCAAATGATGAAGTTAATATTGAGGGAGAAAACGATGAAGTTAATGTCGAGGGAGCAAACAATGAAGAGGTTAGTGTTGATGGAGTAGATGAAAAGGTTAGTGTCGATGGAGTAGATGAAAGAGGCTTTATCGTGGGCAGCTAGAGCCACAACAATTCCTGCATGGGAAAGAGCAATGAATCATATGAAAGAGCTCAATGTCAATGCTTGTAAAGACCATGATGGATGTCCCAGCTGCATGTTGGACTCGGTCTCATTTCAAAATAGACACACAATGTGATTTGCAACTCAACAATATGTGTGAGGCTTTTAATCGTGCAATCTTAGAGTATAGAGATAAGCCGATCATTTCACTACTTGAAGGAATCAAATATTACATAACAGTGAGAATCTCTGCTCAAAAGGAGAAATTAAGTAGGTACACTGGTGTTACAAGTCCTAACATTAAAAAAGTCTTGGAAAAAACAAAGAGGGCAGCAGAAGGATGGATTGCAACATGGCATGCAAATGATGACTTTGCTATATTCGGAGTTTCAAACGGTGTTGAGACATATGCTGTGAACTTGCTTCAACAGAAATGTGGTTGTAGGAAGTGGGATTTAAGTGGAATACCATGTTGTCATGCTATTGCATGCATATGGTATAACAAGAAGGAGCCGGAAGACTACGTTTCACTATTCTATAGGTATCACCTACTTGTATGTTATGTTCACTTACATTCATCTTTTTGGTACGCTTACTAAAATTATTGTGTCATTTTGTCTAGGAAATCTACTGTTCTGGCTACTTATAGCCATATTATTATGCCAACCAATGACCCACAACTATGGCCTGTTAATACTGCTAACCCAATCAGCCCTCCAGTCATGCGAAGATCTATCGGTTGTCCTAAGAAGAATCGTAACAAGGCGAATGATGAACCGATGATAAGAAATACACTGCTTAGAACTCTTCAAATTGTCAAGTGCAAGAAATGTGAGAGTTTTAACCATAACAAGCGAACGTGTAAAGGGATGCGAGCTGCGGAGAGAGCGGTTCCTAAAGGTGGCAACAAAAAACCTTAAAAAAGGGTGACAAGTCGGGAAAGGAAGCGGGACAAACTGTTATAGACGGAGGGTTGCAAGCACCGCCACCAACCCAATAATAGTTCTATGTTTTACTTTACTTTTTGTGATGCTGCTATAGCATATGTTATGACCAAAAAACTCAAGGTCTTTTTGTTAAAATATGTTGTCTTTAGTGCTGCCTGCTATGTAAAGTTACAATGCATTGCTGTTATGTAATGCTGCCTTCAATGTAATGACACATCAGTCTTGATACATCAGCCTTCAATGTTATGTTATGTAGTGTTGTTATGTAATGCTGATGTTTGATATGTAAAGTTACAATGCAGTGCTGTTTATACATCAGTTTATTATTAGAATGCAGTGTTGTTTATACATCAGTTTATTATTAGAATGCAGTGATGTTTATACATCAGTCTTCAATGTTATACATCAGTTTATTATTACAATGCAGTGTTGTTTATACATCAACCTTCAATGTTATGTTATGTAGTGTTGTTATGTAATGCTGCCTGCTATGTAAAGTTACAATGCAGTGCTGTTTATACATCAGTCTTATGATATACATCAGTGTTATTACTCAAAGTATGCTGCTCAAAGTAGCTCTTTAACATTTGAAATAAACATGTTGCTACTTCAGTTTCAGTTTCAGTGTTACTTCAGTTTCAGTCCTTCTTTAACATTTGAAATAAACCATGTTACTCAAAGTAACTCTTCATTTGAAAATACATATCAGTTTGAGTGTTATTGCAATGTTATGTTGCACAAAGTAACTCTTCATTTGAAAATACACAAAGTAGCTCTCAATTTTAAATTATTTCATTTGCAAATACATAAACAAGGTTATGCTGCTCTTCATTTGAAATATTATGCTGCTACTTTAATATTATGCTGCATAATACAAGGTTATGTTACTACAATATTATGTTGCTACTTTATTAACACAGACAATCATAACTCTTCATTTGAAATTACTTCATCTGGCAACTACATAAACATCAAAGTAACTACAACATTTGACATTACATCATTTGAGTACATGTGTTGCAACTAATGCAAATAGTAATAAAAAGACAAACATCACAGATAACCCCACAAAATAATACATAAACCTAATTTTCATCTTCAACAAATCTTCATTTTTCTTGATGTCCTTAATCACATCCATAAGCTCCTCATTCTTGTCTTTCAAAGATCTTATCACATCTTTAGCACGACTGCTCATGTCTTCATCAACCCACTGAAAGTAATTACATTCTTTTTTCCTCATCACCTTAAAAGTACCACAACCATGAAATCTTCTTCCGGGATTATCGTATGTCCATGACGTCATCAACGGTGATTCAAGCTCACACCAACATCTATTACCTCTTCTTATACCAGACCCAGACTGGTTTGTTGAGGAAAAAGAAAAATTCGTTTCGGACATATTGGTAAGTAGGAGGCACGTTGGGTTCGAAATTAATGGCTACATAAGGACTGGTATGGGTTTGTTGAGGAAAGGAGGACTGAAGATTCTGCGCTGGGGTTTTACATTTAGGTTTTAAGATTCTGCGCTGAGGAAAGGAGGACTGAAATGGAAATGGAAATGACAAAAATGAATGGTTGAAGAAATGGGTTGAAAATTATGCGCTGGAGTTTTACATTTAGGTTTTATTAATTTTCTGAAAATGAAATAAAAAAAAAACTAAATAACATGGAAATGATATTAAAATGAATAAGACCATTTTAAATGACATGAAAATGTCACATCATCATTCAACGCGCCACATCATTAAAAACATGACTTAAAATGGCAAGGGGACTAATATCAATCTCAAAACTTAAAAAAGGAGACCAAAATCGTGATTTTTAAAATGGGGGAATAAAAAAAACACAAAATAGGGGGACTAAAGTTGCAATTAAGCCTTAATTTTTTTCTTACAAAAATAAATTTCTGCCTAAATAGACTTTTAACTGTCTAATAAATCAATAAAATATTCAAAAAGTGAAACTCGAACTTAAAAATAAGTCTGTAATAAATTACAAACCAAATTTGAAATTTAAATTTTTTATCTGATCGATAAATCGATCAAGTTTAAGAAGACTAGTGTTGACAAAATCCCACTCTAATTATGATTATTTCAATCTACTAAATTATTAATCATTAATTGATGAGTAATTACTAACCACTAATATTTGCATTACGAAGAAAAAAATAGCATAGAACATAACATAACACAATATTATTAATATTAATACTCTCCATTAGTCTAACCAATTAGCATAAGAGCATATCCCAAAGGAAACATGACAACATAGAAGTTCAAATCATGAAAAACAACACCTTAACAAAACATATCATAATCATAACATAACCATAACATAAACATAATCAAAACTCATTACAAATATGCCCTTAGATTAAGTACTTTTACTCTTGCTTCCCCAAAAGAGCAAGAATGAACTTCTTGTAATCTCCTGAGGTGTCTTTGGACACTGCATCTTCAAGATGAACACTGTTTCTCTTGTAGTATACCTCCTTGATGTCCTTCAAATCCTTCTCCGCCCTCGTGACAATCACGCGGCTTAGTGCATCCTCGTCCGTTCCAAGCTTTCTGATCGCATTGCGCAAAACCTACACATAAATGACTCTTAGTATTGTAATAAATTTGGAGAAAGAATACGAGAACTATACTAACCTTCTCGTAGTACTTTTTGTGATCGTTGATCGAACGAATAGCCACGTGCAATGCCTTGTGGAAATCATCAGATGTTTGATCCAACAATTTCTGCGATATCAAGTCAAACTCTTACCACTGAACTGATACTCGTTAAACGGCGAAAGTTAAGAAAAGATAGAAAAATTGTTGTTTTTTTATACCTTACTGACAGAGACGCCATGTTCGTCTCTATAGCGGTTGAAAGTTGCCACAAGTTGAGTCTTGCTTCTTGTAGTGAGAATTCTAATGACTTCTTCTTCATTGTTTCCTTTCTTTTCTTTGAGACTTTCGTGAATGATATGAGCTTCGGTTTGCGCTAATTTCGGATTGATTTCGTCTCCTTCATACCTGAATGAGCTCACCAATCCAACCAAAAGCTGCTTGAAATCAAGAAAAACTTCTACATTGTTAGTACCAATAATCTATAACTCAAATAGACTCGTAGGATCTATCTGCGAGATGGTTTTTGGAGTCTCCAAAAACCATCTCGTAGACAGATTGTCAGAGGCTATAAAGAATAACTTGCCTGACGAAGATGACCGGTGGTGTTAGCAGACACGTCTTCTTCAATGGAACGCTTGTAGCGGTTACGATAGGCGCGCCTCACTGCCAAAAGCTCTTCGGCTGATAGCACAGAAGCAATTTCAGCAACGACGTGATAGTCTTTGCTGCCATGCTTGATTGCTACATTCATCAAAACAGCATCTCGGTCTGCAGGTTCCAGAAGCCAGCGGTACACAGCTCTCTGAAACCAATAGTTCATGTTTCAAAATTTATGTATATTATTATATATCAACCCCTGATTTATTATCAGGGGTTGATATTATATTGTTTATTTAGAAGAGTCTGATCTCGTGTGTTCGAATACTATATTACCTCAAAATCACCCGAGATCTCTGACTCGAGACGTTTGATGAGATCCTCCTCGAAAAGCTCCTCGTAAGCCTTTCTAATTTGTTGCCTCTGATGAACATTTCTATGACCCAAAATTGCTATAATGGCCTTGTTATCAGCACCCCATCCTGCAAAGTTTGAAAAACCATTAAACACTGTTACAAATTTTAGATTACACATACGAATCGGGCCTAATATGACTTTCTAATAAAAGTAAATTATTCTACAAATATCACATATCCGACGTTCAAGATATTAAACTCGTTTGAACCACCTGATCTTCGTGATCAGGTGGTCCATAACACGAGTGCATAAATTCAAATTACAAATGTCATCAAGTTGATCAATTATAATATATAAAGTAAAAGTAAAATGACTAATCAATCAAAAGCAATAATTTAATAAAACCTTTGAAAGCTTTATGAAGAGCTTGTGCATCCTCAACAGGGGAATGGTTGTTGCTAGGAGCAATAAGAGTAGCCATAGGTGAATATATATTTTTCTTACTATATAGTTTTGTGATTATTGTGAAGTTTGGTTAATAGATTCTTCTCTTATACAATAATTTAATTAGATATAAACTATAGTGCTATGTTAGTTGGTAAGAGGATTTTGTCAATATTGTATATTCAGAAATTTCGTGAAGAGAAATTGAAGAAACTAAAGCTAGCTTTATTACACATAAATGGTGTATTTAGTAGGTACTTAGTTGTTTTTTTTACTTGCATTATTGAATGAATAATTAATACTAAGGTATTAGAATCTAAATAAGTTGAACTACCACTAAAAAAAGTTGAACTAGAATTGTCATGGTCTTTTTCTAGTTAAGAGTTAAAATGAATAATTTATTTTTCAAAAAAAATTATTCAAATATCAAATGATGCATCACTCATTTAAGGATAAGTTTGTAAAAACAAAAATGTATAATAAATATGAGCCATGCATGTACCTTTGAAAGCAAGTCGTAGAGCTTCAGCATCTTCAACAGGAGAAATTTGGCTAGGAGCAACAATGGTGGCCATTGAAATGCTAACTTTCTTCTCAAATTTTGTAACTATAGAAGCAATAATGTGATTACAGACTCTGGTTTTTGTCACCTTTTATAGAACCATGTCTTCCTAGGAGTTAACGCCTTTTCTAAATATTTCATGTAATTTTATTTTTTCATGTTCAAATTTTATTTCTTTATTTATGTGCATTAAATTTTATTCAATAAAGGAAAAAATGGGGGCAAATTGTAAAGGAAGTAAAGCTGGCTTCTGGTGTTGAGAGTTTGTTTGGTTGTAAATAATGCAATGCATGAGTGGTCATAAAGATTCCTTAGGTGCTTTTTTTTGTCCTTTTTTGTTTGCATGTAAAACATATGGCAAAGTATGTCTAGGATTCTCTTTTCTTTTCATATAGTGTACTTTTCAATAAAAAATAAATATGAATTAAAATAAAAGATGTTAAAATTATAAGATATTTCAATTTTTTTATTGATGTTTTTTTAAAGTGGATGTTTTGAATAGACTAATTTATGCAATGGACTCACGATACAGCAAAGAAGGTCTCCGATGCAGTTGCGCGAGAGTGAACTTGTAAGGTTAGCATTTTAATAACTAAATCTTTAATGAGACTCTAAAGAGATAGAGTGAATTATGGTTGAAATCATATCTTAGACTTCACGTGTGATGCTTTATATATGATACACAGTTAAGGACGTCCCTTACTTCCCAATGTGAAACGCGGGCAGGCGTCAGATGTTTCTTCATAATCTTGGTAGGATGACCCTAGACTAACAATCGAGTCTTTTCCGTGTTGGGCTTACGAACAGTGCCCTAAGGTTTGTCGTGGCATAGCAAATGAAAATTGTAAATTTGAGAGTTCTCATGCACACATTTGCTTTAACTTGGAATATTCTATTGAAAATAAGAAGAAAAAAGGTCCAACACATTTGCTTTAACTATTTTATTGAAAATAAGAAGAAAAAAGGTCTAACACGTATTAGACTAAAAACTTGTCAAAAGATATATTTCTATATTTTTTGTGGAAATACATCTTTAAGTTAATTTGTAATAAAATGACAGTGTGAATGATATATATCCAAAAATACATTTTTAAATTTGTAATAAAATGACAGTGTGAATGTTATACATCCAAAAATACATCTTCGGTGATATTTTTTATTTTTTAAAAAAGTGCGTAAACTAAGGATGCAATAAGCAATCTAATCCTCTTGTTTGTTTTGTATAAGGATTCTAAAAAAGTGGATCACAAATCATTTGCATCTATTTGAATTTCCATGATCTTGCTCTTGCCCATGCAAGAGTAAGGATAAGATCTATTTTCATATTTTTATAAATAATTTTTTCATAATTTTGTTTAATTTTTTATTTTTACAAATAAATTGATTTCAAAAATAAATATAAGAAAACTAAAAAGAAGCATGTAAAATAGAATGGCAAACTAGCAATATTCATGTCACTCAAAATTTATACATCAGTATTATTTTATCAAAAATAAAAATAAAAAGAATAAAATTATTTAAAATAAAGGAGAATTTATTCCGTGAATAGAGATCAAAACTATAACTCAACTTTTATTCTATAAATAGATGGAACGAATTTAATTAGCATATGAATAATCCTATGAGCTCTAACCCCAAACAAAAGAAAGTTATTTATTACACAAAATGGAATCCAACTCTATGTGGCATGGCTCTGCAAGCAAACAATATTTATCTTCCCATGCTATGTAAAAGGGTAAAAGGAAATATCAAAATTAGATTTTGAAAAGGGCATCATTCAAATAAATTCATGCTTTAATAAAAGAGCACAAACTATTAGTAGCAGCTACAATCACACTAAACTTGTATGAACACAACCTCTAAAGACTAAATAGTTGTATGTACACATTTGTATGCTGCCTAAATCCTGGTGTATGTTATGTTCAGGTTCGGGATTCGGATCTGGCTTCATTGGCGCGCCTCGGGTACAAAGATCCTGCAGCTGGAACTTCAGCATGTGAAGGTACCATTGCTGAAAGAGGTTGGAAATTCGTGTTTCCAACAAACCAATAAAGAGCCCATTTTAAATTGCAGAGTGTGTATTTGAGTGCTTTGGTCCAATTTTCCTGCTTATTGAAGCTTTGGGTGATAGAATAGTTTTCCACTTTGTCACTCTCAATCCTACAAACCAGCACAAGTATTTGTCATTCTCAATGTTACAAACTAATACAAGATAGTCATAGACTTACAATTTGATAAATGATTCTCAAATTATGGTATAAATAGCAATAATTTAGCGAGAACGTCAAAAATGATGACATGGGAGCGGGGTAGCTCAACCGATTTGAACTTAAGAGAATTGAAGGATAACATTATATCATAACATTTGCCAACTAAAATTAGGGGTGACAAAACGGGCTCGGCATGCCAATAGGCCCGCAACCTCTAATATGTCTGCCGCTTCGCCTCATTTTTTTGCGGGCACGGGCATTAACAAGATTTTTTCAAACTTTAAACCTTTAGGGTTGCAATGCCCGCCCCAACCTCATTTTTTTCGAGGGGCGAGCCAAGGTTATAGGTTCACACCAATGTATGCCTCGCCCTGTTCTTTTTGCGGGGTGGGCATTGCCCATTTGTCACCACTACTAAGAGTAACCTAATATGATAAACATCAGAGAAAACAGTTCAGTTAAATCCGTAAATACTAAAGTTCATGAAAGCATAATGAAATTTTGCATTATGTAACATTTATCCTCTTTGAAGATCTCTTTTATTCCCTCGAACACCAACTTAAAGTAAGCCCCCGTCAAAGATCAAAACCATCATCTTCTCCTCCTTTCACAATTAATTAGCAAAAAATGCCATAAACTACTTGACTCAAGAAGAGATGAACAAGATGGTACCAATGCAAATTTTGTGCTTATCCAATGCAAATAAATGATTAAATAGTACCAAAATATAAAATTCACTCTAGAAAATATATTAAATGCAATGAAACTTACTTATATGGCAACTTGAAACATTTCTCAGGTGGTATGTTATTCTCTTGATCCTTAGATTTGGCAAATTCTGCAAAATCCTTAAGACATGCTAAAAAGAATGTCATTGCCCTGTCATAGCGAGTACTCCAGAACAAGTTGACTGGACCAAAACTGCGAAACCTTAGCCATTATTAATGGCACAGTAGACAAATTTAAGAACAATTATAAAGGCAATGAATTTGTTATATCATTTTGTCTGCAACATTTACATTAGTATAATTCAGAACATCAATTACAGTCTCACCACAGGCATATAGAAACCAGGCTAGGGGCAAATGAACGGCCTTAAATATTTAAAAAAAATAATGTAGCTAGAAAGTATATTCTGGTGTTTAGGTTGCAAAACTAAAATGTAGATGTATTGAAATTGCCGCCAACAAATCAGCTGGTACATCTGATTTTCTTCCATCAATTATATTTAAGGTTTTCGCTCAACTTAGGCCATATAGTTATAAAAATTAGAGCATCATAAAGACAAACAAAAGTACAAACAGCACGCATACTTACAGCTCTAAAGTAGTATTGTTGGTGTCTATGATTCGAGGATAGCTACCCATAGGAATTATCTTTATTCGATATCTAAAAAGTAACGAGTTAAGGGCATGCTTTATGTCATTTCCAATAAATTCTGCTTAAAATGTAGTTTGTCAATGAAATGAAAATGTGGACACAAGCAAATAGGATCGTGTGAGTTTCAGTTGATGTAAAATTTCAACTCAACTAGATACCATCTTGTACTAAAAAAATTAAAGAAAAACAAAAAAAAATCAACTAAAAATACAAGAGTAATTCCAAACTAACATTTCTGCCACTGCATCTTCTATGCATTGTCTAGAAAATAATAAACTGAACTAGACTAAAATGTTCTTGTAGTGAAATTCAGCACAAGACACAACACTCAATAAACATGGCGGCTTGACTTCCATACAAGAGTTTGACAAGTAACTATGTTAGCCTATGAATACAATGGCATCTGTCTTCTTAAAATCATTGTGACTTTTTTTCAGGTATCGATGACATTCAAAAAAATTAAAAATAGCTAAATCAGTAGATGATTTCAATCGATAAAAATTGGTAACTCAAACATTTAGACGCCCACAGGTAGTTGAAAAATTCTGTTTTGAACTGGTTTCACTAATTCATGATTATTTTATTACATGGAGACGAGAAATTTTATCATATTAACAATACGAACTATTAATCTGATATGCTTAAAGAAAAAAGGATACTGAAACTTCGGTCGGAAATACTGGCACATTGTATGAAGAAGAAGGCATGCTTGGCCCCAGGCAGCATTTATCTCATCCCATTCTACCTAAATGTTCCAAAAATAGTAATTATCATATAAATAATTCTTAAACTTGAAAGAAGAGGATTAAGAGTATGAAATACAGGATAGAAAGTTCTTCAGGATGAAAACTTATAACTACATATTCAAATCATTAAATGAGGGAA